AAAAAATTTAAAGATCCCAGTCTGAATGTCTCAATGCAGTCAAGTATTACAGGAAAAACAAGGCCGTTCTAAATTTCAACCTATTGTAAATGCTTTGTGAATACCCAAATTCCTCAAAACAAATACCAAAAGTAACTGTGCAAATGTCTCAATTACTATGCATATAACAACACTGCTAAACAAAAGAAAAGGCAGATGGGAGGAAAGAGGAAGAAAGTTGGAGGAAAACATCCAAAGATGGGTTTCTTTTTCACCCATTTTTGCAATAGGTAGAATTTTCCCCTATTACTAGCATAGTACCTGGGGTCTAGTTGGTACTTCTGGTTCACCTGGAGCTGAATTTAGTCAATTCCGTTTACGTGGGCCATTTGCGTACCTGAGTTAGAGGAACAGCTAGCCCAGAAGCACTGATGCTACAGGGCTTCCCAGAGAACCTGAGTGAGCCCCCAAAGGTGGCTGGGGCTGACAAATGCTGAGGCAGTAAGCAGGGCTTGAAGATTGAAGGTGGAAACCTCTGACTCCCTGAAGAGGAAACTGTTGGGAATGAGGAGCAGAGCACCACCACCGTGAAGTCTGAGAAGCCTGAGTCAAGCAGGTGCCCTGTTGGTAAATGGTATCTGCCTGCCCTCCAGCTCCCCCCACCCCCCAAGCCCCGGGCAGCGTCACCCACGGGGTCTGCGTCTGCTGCAGACGTGGGGCATGGTGTGGGCGGGCTGCCCTGGCTGGCCGGGACGGACTGCCCTCTGGTCAGCCTGACAGTGTCGCAGGGACACCTGTGGAGACGGGCGCCCTGTCCCCGAGGGTGGCCTCCTGCGCCTGCACCTGCCTCCCACACAAGCAAGCAGAGGTGTGGGCTGAGTCCTCGCCGGCCCCCAGGCCCAGCCTGGCACCTGCTGGCAGCCGGCGGCCCAGCGTGGGAATGCCACTCGGGCGCGGGGCACAAGCTGCGCTGGCAGCAGGAGCAGGCAGCTGGGGGGTCAGACCCCCGAGGGCCGCGCGGCTCAAGGAGCGCAGCCCCTTGGCACACGTAATGGGGACGCCACTATTCAAGGGATCGAGGCAAGTATCTGGGGTTCAGGGGTGCAGAAAGGGGATGGGGCCCCGAGGGGCAGGAATGGTGGCTGTGTCCACCTGGCGACTCAGTCAGTGTCCAGGCTGCACCCTCCCAGGACCCCATTTTGGGGACAAGTCCACGGAGCGGCTCCTGTCCGGCCGTCGTCGTCGTCGTCATCTGCACATGCGGTCTGGCCACACTGACCGCCACTTCCAGCCCTGGGGGATCCTTGCTCGCCTGGCCTTGAGCCCCCCGGGACAGAGCCCCTCCTCCAGGAAGCCCTCCCGCCCGCCATCAGGTCTCGGGGCCCACACGCCCACATGTCGTGTGGCCCCAGCAAGGACACAGCGCGCTCCCTCCCTCCGCAGCCCACTGGCCGACTCGGCGAGGGCGGGCAAGCCCTCTGAGCCACTGCAGGCCACGTCCCCAAACCTGCCTCTTCCCTCAGGACACCCCTCACTACCAGCGCTCCCGTGCCCCCCCTTCCTCCCATGGAGACTCCTGCCCAGGAACCTCAGGGCCAGGGGCTGGGGCAGAGCCGGAGGAGTGACCCATCCCTGGGTCCTCCCAGCCGCTGGCTTCCAGATCCACAAAGGAAGCAAAGCTCTTCTCACGGCCCGAGGCAGAAGCTGGGGGATCTGGCCTGGGCGGTGAGGGGCAGGGAGGAGCAGGGAGCGGCAGCTCCCCGCGCGTCTGCACCTGCAGGGACAGGGTGCGCCAGAGCGAGGCCGAGGCGGGCCGGCACAGCAAGGGGCGCACAGGAGCCGCTCTGCGCCCCAGTCACGGCAGACACAGGAATGATGAGTGTGACCTGCCGCCCCGAGGGCCCCGGCGCTCTCTGCCCGGAGGAAGGCTGCAGGCCAGGGCCACGGACAGGCACTGGCCCGGAAATGAGACGAACACGACAACGGGACACGCGGAAGCGCGCCGGTGGCAAAGCCGGCCCCTAGGCCCAGGACACACCCTCACCCACACGCCCCTGCACGTGGCTGCCAGCTAGTGAAACCCCAAGTCTGCCCACCAGCGAGAAGGTCCACATTAAGCCTCATCACCCCAACTCCCTGGCAAACTGGTCCCGGGGGCCAAGGGGCGCAGGTCAGAGAGAGCGTGAAGAGCTGCGACAGGCTTCTCCCAATGCCAGCCGCGCCCCCACACCAGCCGGCCGGCCCCCCCACACCAGCGCCCCGAAGGCCAGGACCCCGCCGGCCTTGGGAACCCTGGGGCCGGGGCGGCGCCTGCACACACCCTGGCACAGACCCTGGCCGACTGCGCCAGGGAGCAAATGCGCAGAAAGGAGGAGGCCGCACCCTGCTCGGGAAGACAGCGCTCTCCAGGCTGATTCTGGGTCAGCAGCGGGAGGGCACATGCAACTTCAGGCTGCGCCCAAGGGCATTTCAAACAAAAGTCACACTGCTGGCTTTGTCCCCCAAGTTAAGGATGTTTGAAGAGAAGATAAGAACTTGCCAATTTTCTGCAGGATCTGCTACAGAGCCACCGGGAAGGTCCCTGCGACTGCATGTATTTTGTTTTTTCAGCACAGAAGAACTGGAGTATGGGCCAGAGATGTGGGCGGGGGGTGGGGGGTGGAAAGGATTCACCAGGCAGAATGGAGCAGAACAAGCCACAAGCCGATCTACTGAAACACACGCTCAGGGGAACAGTGTGGAGTCAGGAGAGACCTGCTCCTTGGCCGGGGATTGAACTGTGGCAGTAATACGCGACACTTAACCCCTAGGGCGCCCAGGGGGGCCCCGAGGCTGTATCAGATGGTGACAGAGGCACTGGGCCGTGAATGTGGGGCTTCCTACGGCCCCACAGAGCACCCCACGCCGCGCCTTCGGGTAAGGGCACAGAATACTCAAAGTTGACTAAGGAGCAAGCAGGGATGGAAATGCAAAAAGCTTCTTGCTCACTCTCCCTCAGACTGAAAATAAGAGGGTTTGGCTGCTTCCCCCAGTACCTGG